TCGATGGTGCATAAAAGCAGCACGCAAGCTCTCTGAGGAAAGTAATTCACTTTCCTATTACTGAACACAGTACCACCTGCTGTGTAGTGTTCATGCAATTTAAATAATAGTGTAAATAAAAGCAACCACAAAATAAATGCTATTCATTGATTTCTTATTTTATGTCACACACTTCACATACATTATTAATAATTCTTCCAAAACTCTAAAGGATGCATGGAAACATCTGCATTTTACAGAAGAGAGAGATGTTCAAGAAGCTTAAGTGACTAGTTCAAGATAACGTCACATGTAAGTGGTAAATACTGAGGTCACCCTGATTGTAAAACCTTCAATGTCTTTGTGCTGACAATATATTTTTGTATTTCAATAGTCGAGAATACTTTAAAGAAACGAAGATGAGAAAAATACTAGGTCACATTTATGCAGATACTCACCTTTATTGTTTTTCTTCCTTTATTCCTCAAGTTTCAAGTGAACCCTGGTGTCCTTTCTTTCAACCTAAAGAAATTCCTTCTCCTATGTCCTTAGAGGACAGGTCTGCTTAGATAAATTCTGTCTTCTTCCTTGAGAAATGGCTTTTTTTAATCTTCATCCCTGGAAGATATTTTTCATTAGAAGGAGAATTTGAGGTTGATAATTCTTTTCTTTTTTTGCCTTAAAGATATTGTTCTACTCTCTCCTGGCCTCCATCATATCTGATGAGAAAATGTGGTCCTTGGATTGTTGTCCCCTGTATTCAATCTGTCTTCCTCCCTACCCACCTGTGATGACTTTTAAAAACGTTTTCTTTATCTATGGTTTTCAGTAATTTTATTGTTATGTGTCTGGGCTTATTTTTTTTCTTCAGTGTTTGTTCTTTGGAGTTTGTTGAGTTTTTTGTATCTATAAATTTATCTTTCACCAAATCTAGGAATTTTTCAGGCATTATTTCTATGAATGTTCGTTCTGCACTAATATGGTCTGCCTCTGCCTTAGGGACTCCAGTGGCACAAATGTGACATCTTTTGATTTTCTCTCTCAAGTCACTGAGACTCTAGCCATTTTTAAAAAGATTTTTTGAATTTATTTGAGAGATAGAGAGTTAGAGAGAGAGTGCATGAGCAAGGGGAGAGGCAGAGGGAGAAACAGACTCCCCTTGAGCAGAGAGCCCAATGTGGGACTTAATCCCAGGACTTTGGGATCATGACCTGAGCCGAAGGCAGATGCTTAACTGACTGAATCACCCAGGCACCCCTGCCTCTAGTGATTTTTTATTTTAATTTCTTTTCTTTCTGTTCAGACTAGATAATTTCTTTTTTTAAATTTTTAAAAAATGTATTAATTTGACAGAGAGAGATCACAAGTAGGCAGAGAGGCAGGCAGAGAGAGAGAGAGAGAGGAGGAAGCAGGCTCCCTGCTGAGCAGAGAGCCCAATGTGGGACTTGATCCCAGGACCCTGGGATCATGACCCGAGCCGAAGGCAGAGGCTTTAACCCACTGAGCCACGCAGGTGCCCCAAGACTAGATTATTTCTACTGCTCACTCCTCAAGTTCACTTGTTCTTTCTCATCTCCATTCTGCTATTGAGCTCATTTCATGGATTCTAAGCTTCAGATATATTTTTCACTGCGATTTAGTTCCTTTTTTTTTTTTTAAGATTTTATTTATTTATTTGACAGAGAGATAGATCACAAGTAGGCAGAGAGGCAGGCAGAGAGAGAGAGAGAGAGGAGGAAGCAGGCTCCCTGCTGAGCAGAGAGCCCGATGCGGGCCTCGATCCCAGGACTCTGGGACCATGACCTGAGCGGAAGGCAGAGGCCTTAACCCATTGAGCCACCCAGGCGCCCTAGTTCCTTTTTTTATAGACTCTATTTCTTTTAAGAATTTCTTTCTTTCATTTCAAGAGTGTCCACCTTAGTTCATAGAAAATGGTTCTAGTAGCTGCTTTAAAGTCTGTGTGATAATTCACACATTTGAACCGTCTTTGGGTTGGCATCTGCTGATTGCTCATTCCTTTGAGAATTGGTTGAATTTGGTTGTTAGTATTTGGATTATAGCCTGGACATTTTGAACATTATATCGTTAGACCTTGCACACTGTGAAACTTCTCTGGAGAATATTTGTTTGTTGTTTGAACAAGCAATCTACTTGCATGATATGTCCTTTGCTTTTGTGGTGGTCGTGTCAAGGTCAGTTAAGTTTTCAAAGACTTTGAGATGCTCTTTGGGTCTGCTGGGGCATATATATCCCTCAGGGCTTGCTCTGGTTCTTGGGTGATGTGGCACTGTAATTCAGTTCTCAAAGTCTTCATCGTACTTCTTTGGGCATTTTTGGTGCATGTACAACTTGAAGGTGAGCTCAGCACTTGTGTGGGTTCAAACACAGGATTAGAGATTCTCTTCTCTGGTTCTGTCTCATTTGTGGGGTTTCTTCCATATTCTCGGGCTCCCAGGATCCACTTTTCCAGTTTTTCTCTCTGGAAAGATGTTTCTCAGAGTTGGCCTCCTGGGCCATGGCCTACTTTCACGCAGTTGTACCATAGTGCAAAGCAGTGAAAGAAGAGGAAAACCCATAGCACTGGTTCCTTCGCTCTTTGCAAACAAGGTGTCCTTTTTTCTGCTGCTGCTGCTTCTTCTTCTTCTTTTTTATTTTTTAAGGTTTTTTGTTTTTTTTTTTTAATTTGAGAAAGAGAACGTGAGTGGGCGGGAGAGGTAGAGGAAGAGAATCTTCAAGCAGATTCTCTGCTAAGCACGGAGCCTAATGCAGGGGACAGCTGGATATGGGACTTCATCCCAGGACCCATGAGATATGACCTGAGCCAAAACCAGGAGTCGGTCACTCAATCCACTAAACCTCCCAGGCACACCATTTTTCTGCTTCTTGAAGCCAAAAGGTTGAATCATCATTTGGGATCTTAGGTGTCCATGTCTCCCCTGGGGTAGCAGTACAGATTTACTTTTGAGGTCTCGAGGCAGGACTGGTTGAATAAAAAGAGAAAATTCAACACGGAGACTTTCCCCATACTCTGGCTTATAGGGAGCCCCTTTCCTGCTGATCTAGCCAGAATGATCTTAACTCCGGATTTTTTTTGTTTTTGTTTTTTTGTTTTGCTGTTTGCAGTTTTTTTTTTTTTTTTAAGATTTTATTTATTTATTTGACAGACAGAGATCACAAGTTGGCAGAGAGGCAGGCAGAGAGAGAGGAGGAAGCAGGCTCCCCGTTGAGCAGAGAGCCGGATGCGGGGCTGGATCCCAGGACCCTGAGACCATGACCCAAGCCGAAGTCAGAGGCTTAACCCACTGAGCCACCCAGGCGCCCTTGCTGTTTGCACCTTTTATAAAGTTCCCAATTTGGCTTGCTTTCAGGACAAATCCAGAAAGAGAAAAAAAAGGATAAACTCAGAAAACTCTTTGTAGCCAATTTTATCTTTTCTTAAGTTTTGACTTTTCTCCTTAAGCCACTTGCTATTTACTTTCCTGACTCCTCAGATAGCTGTTTGCCAAGTGTGTCCACATTTAAGTTGTGGTGAGGGGAGCCACAGAATAGGCTCCTTATTCTGTGGACTGCCTCTTAATCATGTTTTCACCCCTAATACTTGCCACAGAACCTACCACATGATAGACAATTAAGTAATTGAAGGGAATACAAGCGTAAAATGTGAGGCTCACCAAGGTGAAGGAAATCTTTGTGTGTGTATGTGAATGAAAATATAAAAAGTGAAGCTTGCCAATTCTCCAGTAAATTCTGGTATGACCCGGACAGAACGTGTTTGGCTCACTGTCTACCAGTCTTCCCACGCTCAAAGATGTTCAGTATTTCTCCTCTGCTTGGCACCCTGCAGAGCCTGAATGCAGCCAAAGAATATTCCTAGCACCCCAAACCCGGAAACCACTGGCAAGTGAAAAGCATGGGATGTGGGGTACAAGCCAGTCTTTCACTCCTGTTTTTCACACGTGTCTGCACACAATTTCCAGCTTTTGTTTCCGATTTAAAGGCAGGGCCTTCTCCCCACAAATTTCCATCTTCCTATACTCTTTAAGATTCTAGCTGATGGGCACAGATTTCCCCTTCCCAGGTGGGCTTGTGGAAGAAAATCATTTATTTTGCTTTCTTATACAAAGTTCTATGTTTTCATTAAAAAATGTAATTTGACTAATGTGTTTTATGGAGCTTTCCCTCATTTATACCAAAAAGAACTTGTTAGTGTTTTGGACCTTGGGAAATGATGAATTTGTTTAATAGATCAGTAATTATCCCACTCAAAAATGATCATTAGAATTCCTCTTTGTTTGATTACTATGTATCACCAAACCCACAATCCATTTATCACCAGCTGCATCCGTTAATTCAGCTTTACTGGTCCATGCATAAGAGACTACTCTAACTTTTCATTTTGAGCCTTTCTAAGAAAAATATTGCTAGAAAGTAGTATGCCTTAAATATATCTGATTTAAAATCTCCGTCTGTACAAACTTTTAATTATGGTTTTGTTTGCCATTTTTCTTACTGAAGACTATTATCTAGTAGAATTACAGTCTAAATAGAAGTATACTTGTTAGGGGATTGGGAGTGATTATTAGCTTGTAGGGGGTGACAGTGGTAGTAAGAAATGATGTCTGTAAATGTGAATGACTTTTCATGTCTTTGTACATTTGGTATGAAACACCCTAACACTAGGTATTTACTTAAGGGAGCTCTTTCCAGAACTTTAGGACATTCCCACTTCTAAAGTGGAAAACAAGGTCAGGAAAATGAGCTCTGAGAGTGTACTGAGCATGTGTGTGGTGCAAATACCAAACACGAGTTAGTTAAAGGTTGACATCACTGAGTACAAAGTTCTCTAGTAAGATTTCCTTTGGATCGTCATTCAGGACACATGGCTTGGGATTCTGCCTCACTCTGCTGGTACCGAAATCAGAACAATAAAGAGGAAAGAAACTGACTGCGTGGTACAATCCAAGTGGGGTTCACAATCTAAATGCGGTTTTCTTTTCTCCTTTCCCCTCTGGGGTCTCCAGTTTACCGTGGTTTCTGGGCAGTCCTGATGCTTCTGGGGGTCGTCACCGTGGTGACTGCAAGCTTTCTGATCATCTGTGCAGCTCCCTTTGCAAGCCACGTTCTCTATAAAGCCGGTGGAGGTGGTTACCTTGCTGCAGGTATGTGCGAGGCAAAGGGTGTGATTTCCAGCCATGGCTTTTCTGGATATCCTCATATTTTCCTTTTCTAGTTTCAGGTTTCAGACCTCTATAGTAATAATACAATGATATTCGTACACAGTTTTGCTTGAGTGCCCACAACTTGCAGTCCCTTCTCTAGAGACTTGTGTTTTCCATGTTCTTCACAGCATTTGCTTACTGTATCCACATGGTAGGAAGAAGCCACTAGAAGGAAAAGCTCTGTTCTTTAGCCTCGCTTAATCTATCTGTAAAATGGGTCCAGATCATGTCTCTCTGTAACATCAGGATATGGGTGAGGTTTTCTGTGCACTCTTAAAGAGATAGCCGTATTACAAACTGGCATGATTTATTTATCACAGGCAAAAAACATCTCTTTCTACGGTGTCAGCACTCACTTTTCTTAATTGTGGTTCATGTGTGTTATAGAAATACATTCTTTCCTTGGCTAAACCTGCATTTTTTTTAGTCAGATTTCCAACTAGTCTTTTTAATACCTGTTACAGAGATCTTAGCACAGATAAGAAAATAATTGACTAGATGTGTCTTGCAAATATCAAGTGTTTTTCATTTAATTGGGAAATAAAAGCAAGAACATTAATCTGAAAACATATAAGCATAGATGATTTGTAAAGAGAAGAGTTCTAGAAAATGAGACAAACATCACTATGACCAAAACCAAATCGTACATGGCTATGCTATATTGTAACACCAAATCGGGACACAGAGTTTCTGTATGAAATGGTAGTGATAGTAAAGAAACAGAATGGATAACATTGTCATCTCTAAATCATTAGGGACAGCTCCTGATGTCCATCATCATTTAATCGATGACCAACCAACAGTTCAAGCACACTTATTACATAACATTGTGCTTAATTCTGTGGAGGGACTAGAAAGAATAATCAGATATGGATCCTCCGTTCAAAGAGTTCAAAAAAGAAAAAAAGAAACAACCCACCAAAACCAAAACCCACCCTTTGAATAAGTGTCCTGTTTAACCTCTTCTGTCATTCTTTTGTCTTTTATTCAATTCCTTTCCTCACTGGTTTTTCATGGACCTTGCTTTCAAGGGCCTGATTGACCTACAAAATTCACCATTTTAAAGTATATAATGCAGTGTTTTTCAATACATTTCCAGATTTGTACAAATATTACTGCTCTCTGATTCCAGAATAATTTTTTTAAAGATTTTATTTATTTGAGACAGAAAGCACAAACAGAGTGAGCAGCAGGCAGAGAGAGAGGGGGAGAAGCAGTCTCCCCACTGAACAGGGATCCCCATGCACAGCTCGATCCCAGAACTCTGGGATCATGACCTGATCTGAAGGCAGCTGCCCAACGGACTGAGCCACCCAGGCACCACTAATTCCAGAATATTTTTATCACCTCACAAAGAGACCTCATATTGTCTCCCCTCCCTCCCTCCCCCTGACCCTGAGTTAATACTCATCTACTTTCTATGTCTGTGGGTCAGCCTATTCTGGAAATTTCATTATCAATGGATTCACACAATGTGTCGCCTTTTGTGTCAGGCTTTTTTAACTTCAATCTCAATTTATAATCTCTCTTCTTTAATTCATAATTCCATAAGACCAAATCCCTCATAAGCCATAAAACTGAGCATTTTCTGAGCCAAATATGTTTTCCTTCTCCAAACCACTTTCTAACTTTTGTTCGTTTCAAGGTCTTGTGAAGGTGCATATTTTTCCATGATCTTCCCAGAAATAACAGCTGTCTGCTAGAATGTGTAAATATTTGTTTCTTCTCATTCCTTACCTTTCTTTTTAAATATTTTCCAATAAAGGAAGTATGTATAGTTGACCCTTGAACAGTTTGGGTTTGAAACTGTGGGTCCACTTATACATGGATTTTATATATATATGTGTGTGTGTGTGTGTGTGTATATATATGTGTGTGTATATATATATATACTATATATGTAGTATATATATAATATATATACACATATGTACATATATATATAGCACAGTCCTGTAAATCTGTTTTTTCTTTCTTATGTTTTTACAATCCAGTCCAGTAAATTTACAGTACAGTCCTGTAAATCTCTTTTTTCTTTATATTTTTCTTATGTTTCTTTTCTTAGCTTAATTTATTATAAGAATACAGTGTATAAACGTACACAAAGTATGTGTTAGTTGATTATATTATCAGTAAGACTTCTCTGGTCAACAGTAGGCTATTAGTCATGAAATCTTAGGGAAGTCAAAAGTTACAGGCAGATTTTTAAATACAGTTAAGTTTTCGTGGTGCCAAAAGTTATAGCCAAAAAAAAAAAAAAAAAAAAAAGTTACAGGCAAATTTTCAACTGCGGTTAAGATTTGAGGAAGTTGATATTTTCTTTTCTTTTTTTTATTATGTTATGTTAATCACTGTACAGTATATCATTAGTTTTTGATGTAGTGTTCCATGATTCATTGTTTGCATGTAACACCCAGTGCTCCATGCAATACATGTTCTCCTTAGTACCCATCACCAGGCTCACCCTTTCCCCTACCCCTTTCCCCTCTAAAACCCTCAGTTTGTTTCCTGGAGTCCATAGTCTCTCATGGTTTGTCTCCCCCACTGATTCCCCCCTTCATTTTTCCCTTCTTTCTCCTAATGTCCTCCATGCTATTCCTTATGTTCCACAAATGAGTGAAACTATATGATAATTGACTTTCTCTGCTTGACTTATTTCACTTAGCATTCTCTCCTCCAGTTCTGTCCATGCTGATACAAAAGTTGGGCATTCATCTTTCCAATGGCTGAGTAGTAGTCCATTGTGTATATGGACCACATCTTCTTTATCCATTCACCTGTTGAAGGGCATCTCAACTCTTTCTGTGGTTTGGCTATTGTGAACATTGCTGTATGGGCGGATTTTCAATTGCACAAGGGTTGGTGCTCCTAACCCCACCATATACAAGGATCAAGTGTAAAAGCATGAGTTTAGTACACATTATGGAAGCACGTTGTTTTAAACTCAGGAATGCTCTGATCCTTGGTTTAGTCTGATTAAAGAATTGTATGTCTGTGTGTGTGTTTAGAGCTTTTGGAAAAAAAAAGTGTTGGTCATTTTTACATTGTGTAAGAAGGTAGTATATCCAAAGAATTTTGTTTGGCTGAAAACTCTGTAGGAAGGAAAAGCATTTGGTATGTATTCATATGCCATTGACCAGTGTGTTTTCTTTTTGTGAGGAATCTTTGCGGTGTGTGGGAACAGGGCTGCGGTTCCCCTTCCTCAGATCTTCTTGTGGAGTACCCTGGGAACTGAGAGGTGTCCATGGTATTCTGGGACCCATTCTGCAAACAACGAAACTGAATAATTCCTTTCAAACTTGACTTTTAATTTCCTTCATGGCGGAATTCTATATTGTTTGTGTAGGACCATTTGTTTCCACAGAACACAGAGACAGATTCTGTTGGATGAGACAGAATTATCTTGGGCAGACAAAAGTGATGCTCTCAGGAATAACTGAAGTTTGCAGTCTAGTGTCAATTTCCACTGTGAAACACAGTTCTCTAAGGCAGTTATGGGACCAATAAATCATCCTTGAGCTTCCATACTTCTTGGTAGAAGAATTTTAAAAATATTTTCATTGTTTATTATTAACATTCTCAGGTAATTTTTTTTATTTAATTTCTTTTCAGTGTAACATAATTCATTGTTTATGCACCACACCCAGTGCTCCATGCAATACGTGCCCTCCATAATACCCACCACCTGGCTCCCCCAACCTCCCACCCCCCTCCACTTCAAACCCCTGAGATTGTTCTTCAGAGTCCACAGTCTCTCATGGTTCGTCTCCCCCTCCAATTTCCCTCAACTCCCTTCTCTCCATCTCCTCATGTCCTCCATGTTATTTCCTTTTTTTTTTTTTAAGATTTTATTTATTTATTTGACAGACAGAGATCACAAGTAGGCAGAGAGGCAGGTACAGAGAGAGGAGGAAGCAGGTTCCCTGCTGAGTAGAGAGCCTGAAGTGGGGCTCGATCCCAGGACCCTGGGATCATGACCCGAGCCAAAGGCAGAGGCTTTAACCCACTGAGCCACCCAGGAGCCCCCTCCATGTTATTTCTTATGCTCCACAAATAAGTGAAACCATATGATAACTGACTCTCTCTGCCTGACTTATTTCACTCAGCATAATCTCTTCCAGTCCCATCCACGTTGATACAAATGTTGGGTATTCATCCTATCTGATGGAGGCAGAATACTCCATAGTGTATATGGACCACATCTTCCTTATCCATTCGTCCGTTGAAGGGCATCTTGGTTCTTTCCACAGTTTGGTGACTGTGGCCATTGCTGCTATGAACATTGGGGTACAGATGGTCCTTCTTTTCACTACATCTGTATCTTTGGGATAAATACCCAGTAGTGCAATTGCGGGGTCATAGGGAAGCTCTATTTTTAATTTCTTAAGGAATCTCCACACTGTTCTCCAAAGTGGCTGCACCAACTCGCATTCCCACCAACAGCGGAAGAAGGTTCCTCTTTCTCCACATCCCCTCCAACACACGTTGCTTCCTGTCTTGCTAATTTTGGCCATTCTAACTGATGTAAGTTGGTATCTCATTGTGGTTTTAATTTGAATCTCCCTGATGGCTAGTGATGATGAACATTTTTTCAGGTAATGTTAATAGACAATTTAGCCTTTCAAAGTCAAAGGTGGAAACTTACATGTGCTATATGAAAACTTGGCAGATATGTAACAAACACTAGGTTTTTCGGCCAGCCAAATTTTTATATGCCATTTTTAATATGGAACCATGCATATAGTCATCTACTGAGTTAAACTGAATTAAATTTATAATGCTTTCTTTGGCTAGATTTTACATATTCAAAATGAAGAGATCTTATTCTATGTGCCCGCTATTCTAGAGTCTCTTTGTTCTTTACGGCTTACCTCATCATTCCCTGCCCGAGTCTCCGGTGCTGCCCTGTGCCAATGCTCTGTGCTCTGCTGGGCAGTTTG